AGTAAAACTATCTTTTCACTTTATACAATCCTGAGTTGCATAAACCAAGGCATAGATTCAAGATCACGCAAAGTATTAGTACTGCTTTATAAAGCTCTAGTGAGACCACACCTGGAATACTGCAACCAATTTTGGTCACCATATTACAAAAAAGATGTTGAGACTTTGGAAAAAGTGCAAAGAAAAGCAACTAAGATGATTAAGGGCCTGGAGGCTAAAACATATGAAGAACGGCTGCGGGACTTGGGTTTGGCTAGTCTAAAGGAAAGAAGAAATGGGGGTGACATGATAGCAGTATTCCAGTATTTGAGGGGCTGCCACAAAGAAGAGGAGGTCAAACTATTCTCCAAAGCACCGGAGGGCAGGACAAGAAACAATGGTTGGAAACTGACCAAAGAGAGAAGCCACCTGGAATTAAGGAGAAGCTTCCTAACAGTGAGATAATTATAACCAGTGGATCAGCTTACCCCCCAGAAATCGTGGGTGTTCCAACACTGGAGGCTTTTAAGAGGCTAGACAGGAACTTATCTAAAATGGTATAGATTTTCCTGCTTGAGCAGTGGACTAGAAGACCTCCAAGGTCCCTTCCTACTCTACTCTACTCTACTCTACTCTACTCTACTCTACTCTACTTCTATTCTATTCTATTCTATTCTATTCTATTCTATTCTATTCTATTCTATTAAGCTAGAAAGTCTCTGTTGAGACCTCTTTGAATGTATCTAAGCTCTTTGAGATAATGGCCATCTAGAATAAAGAATTCTTTGTGGTTCATTGAATAAGAGCAGTCTTTATTTCATAGCATGGTTGGAATTCAAAATTACTTTCTTTTTTTAAATGGGTGCATCCAACATCTGTGGCATGCCAAATTATGAAAGTAGGTCAAGAACATAGTGAAGTTAAAGAAAGAGATCAATGACGTATTTGAGTTAAAACAAGAGATCAGGAATATGTTTCGTTGAGATACCACATTCCTTAGTTCTCCTTGTTCCCATCAGTTCTATTTCTTCACATCCCCTTTAATAGTTGTACTCACAAATTCATGCACAGACTGTTTTTGAGACATTAGAGGATATACTTGCCTACTCTAATTGAGTTTATTTATCAAATCAAATCAAATCAACCTTTATTGTCAGAGTACAACATGTGTACAATGAGATTGGCTAAGCCTCCCTTCGTGCCCCCCCCCGACACAACTCACAACAAACACACAATCATATTGCATCATCTTTTTATGTAATGGATTTATAGGGCCACTCATCTGCAAACTGGCATTCTTGGAATGCAAGTGATTTATAGCTGGGCTGGGAGTTTGTTTTCTCTGGGACAATGTATATGTATACGTATACTTATACATATATGTATATGTACATGTATAAGTTGAAGGGTTCTTGAGCTTGAGGTCCCAAACTCTTCTTCAGTGTGAAGGTCGCCCAAAGGCATCCTAAGTAAGTGGAGTAATTCTGGAAAAGTTTGAATTCAGAAGGTTGTTGTTGATTAATTTACAGGTCCACCTAGCAGCAAATCTAGCATTGACCCAGATGCAACTCTTCAAATATGATGGTATTTCTTTCCAGATAAAACAGTCTCCAAAAGAAAATTGGACTAAAAGGAGAACATCTTCAACTGTTATTAGCAGTAATTTTTCTCAAGGCTTTAGTTTGTTTTGGATCACAAAGATCACAAATTGGAACATTATTACTCCACAAAGCATCGACACAATGCAATGGGACATTAAGTTATAACTCATTGGTCTCCTTGGTTTTAATAGGGATGAAATTTGGACCCCATGCCTTAATGGTAAATTAGTTTCTCTGAGGAATTTCTGGCACCCATAATTGGCTCACTAGAGTGTGATCATTCAGGAGAAAGACATGTGGTTCTCTGAGGAATGAGAAGAAAGGAAACTTGGGATTCACAGAAAATAAATATATGGAGGTAGATTCTCAGAATCAAGTTCTGTTATGCCAGAGACTGATCTGTCCTCTCGATGGATCATCAAGGTGTGCTAGAGCTGCATGTGTAAAGGAACATCTCAGTTCAAGTCAAGAGATCTGAGGCGATTTGGAAAGAAACCTAATTTGGATGTTATGATTCTCCACAAACTTGGAGAGTTTGCCTTCAACTGGCTGAAGGCACATTCTTTGGCTGGCTTTCGTGAAACAGGTTAAAAGAACTCTCAGCAAATAAATCTCATTGGCATCTACAATCTGGAGGAAGATATGTTTGGGGCAGCTGAAATGACATTAAGTAATTGAAGAAATAGATCTGTTCTGAGAAGACTGTCCCAAGCCTCTTCCATGCAGAGGAAAATATTAAAATTATTGTCTGAAGTGATCAGAGAAAGAATTGCTGATTTCTTCTTGTTATATGATCATCAGCTTCAAAAATTGTATCAACGTTTTCAGATAACTACACTAGAAAGCCTATAGCAAAACTAACAATGATCTTATTGCATTATATGAATTTCATATTATTTACATATTAATGATTTGTGAGTCTCTGCAATACTTGTTTTGGTTTGTCACTGAAACTTAAGAAGCTATACCAAAAAAATTAGAGATATTCTTTATCTCCCAATCAAAAGGATAGTGAAGACAATTGAAAGAGTTGAGCAGGGGGTTGGACTAGAAGACCTCCAAGGTCCCTTCCAGCTCTATTCTGATTGATTGAGGCATTGATTTTTTGTTAATAGCTGAATGTGTAAGTGTGTTGGATATTTCTTCCAAGACAATTCATGGAAAAAAATACAACTGTAGTGATGGCTAAGAATTTCTATGCTTTTCAATAAATAAATTTATGGAGTGTCCAAATCAAACAGCACCAAATATGTTTATCCTCTCTGGGTTTCCATATCCAGAAGACCTAAGGTTCCCTTTGCTTCTGTTATTCTCAATCATGTTTATCCTGACTCTTTCTGCAAATGCCTTGATCCTCGGAATGGTGATCTCTGATCTTCAACTGCACAAGCCCATGTACTGGTTCCTGGGTCATCTCTCTATCCTGGACATGATTTTCACAACTGTGGTGGTTCCCAAAGTTATTGCAGGATTCACTCCAGGTGGAAAAGTCATCTCTTTTGGAGGATGTGTGTCTCAGCTCTTTATCTTCCATTTCATTGGATGTTCAGAATGTTTTCTTTACAGCATGATGGCTTATGACCGTTTCTTGGCCATTTGTAAACCCCTACATTATACCAACATCATGAACTGGAAAACCTGCCTCTTCCTCTCCTTGGGGACCGTAATTGGTGGCTGCCTCAACTCTTCATTTTTGACATCTCTCACCTTTCATTTGCCTTTTGGAGAGGACAATCATATTGACTATGTCTTCTGTGACATTCCTGCTGTCTTAAAGCTGGCTTGCATAGACATACAATTTAATCAACTGATGATCATCACTGACATGGGTTTTTTTACAATGGCCTGCTTTCTCCTCATCCTAGCCTCTTATGCTTATATCATCATAGCCATTTTGAAGATCAGTAGCAGTGAAGGGCGACAGAGAGCCTTCTCGACTTGCTCTGCCCATCTCATGGTAGTGTTAATATATTACTTGCCCATCTTTTATCATTATATGAGGCAAGGCTCTCAGAACTCCATGGATATTGTGGTAAGCATGTCCTATACTACCATCACCCCTTTTTTGAACCCCGTGATATACACTCTTAGGAACAAGGACATTAAAACTGCTCTGGTGAAACTATGGGGTGGGAATCCAGAGTAGATACAGTAGCAGGAAGTATACCTGAGACATTTTTTAAAAAGAAACATAGTGAATAATCCAATTTAGTCAGGATCCTTTCAGGCTGAAACTCTGACATATTTTATGGAGCTACTGTAATTTTCTATTGATCACTCTTCAGGAATGGATATAGTTGATCAAATTGCACAGACGTTAAAGATGCTGTTTAAAAATATAGAGGAGAGCAGCTTCATTCAGATGACAGTTAATGTGAGCAATGATGGGGCTGGTGACTTGTTTAGAAGAGTGAAGAAGTGGAATCACAAGTGAGAACAATGGTCCTTCTGCCTATGGTACCAAGAGAAAGACTGAACAGATGCTCAGGAAAGAATCTGAGATGTAAACAGTGCGGAAGAAAACCTGAAGTTTGCAGAGCACACATTCTCATCAAGTGTTGCCTAGTTCTTCTCCTACAGAAGTCCTCATACAACGTCCTTGTTCAGCCACTCTGAATTAGCTCTGTTTTCTTGGACACAGGAAAGAATGAATTCCAATAAGTCATCCTCTCTGCCATGTCTCTGTAAGAGAAGTGGTATTTCCATATCCTCCTGGACTGCTAGTTGGGATTCCTCTGCCTCCCACAGGATCAGTTTCTGAAAAGATTTTGACATATAGGGCGGGAAATCAGAGGGAAATAAATTTTAACAACTGAATTTTATTGTACACTTGTTGGAGATATTACATATGGCTGCTTTTTTGAAAGGCATTTAATAATTTTTCTGAATGTCTTTGCTTGTATCTCTTCCACTCGCTGATATTGTGATTTGAATAAGTATTGTGCTTTGGTGACTTTATTCTCTAAACTTGAGAAATAACACCCTGTATTGTTAGATTTGCAGAAAGTATGTGCAATTCTTTTTCTGCAAGACATCAATAATGAAACCTTTTTCTCTGATTATAATATTATTTCAAAGATGATGACACTTTCCTGAGGAGTCAAGACAGGGTAAATATTGCTCCTTTCTCTAGTGTTCTTGTAAAGAACAGTACAGATCTATATGCAGCTGTCTCCTGTGGTGAGCTGCTCAATTTCAAGAGGAAACATTGTTTTTCTAGATGAACTTTACTTTATTCTGATTTCCCTCTTAGTTGACCTGATTTAGCTCTTTCTACAGTATCTCATTCAGTTCTTATTTCTCAACTGCTTCATCTATTTCTTGCATTCCATTTATGAGATCTTCTTAATCTGTGTTTCCTGACTAAGCCATGACCTTAAAATTACATTCCCTGACTGTGAGAGTTAGTTTGGATGGAGGAATCATATGCACTTCAAAGGTTGAGAAAACGTTCATATTCTGTGTACCTACATGTTCCCTAATAAAAAGATATCAAATATTTTTGCAACAATCTTGTATATGTCTCCTTTTGTTTTGTGTTTTTTAAAAAATTCTTTTTCTCTATTGAATTTGGTGTATAGGTAGTCCTCGACTTACGAAAACAATTATTAGGTTGGTAACATGGTGGCTAAGTGACCTGGTTTGTCTCCAGGATGCCATTTTGTTCCCAGCTTACAAGCAATTGGAACAAAATGGCGGGCAGGTTCAGATCACTTTTGATAAAGTAGATCACAAGCTACTACTTGATAAGATAGACAAATGGATTAGACAGCATCAACAGCAAATGGATTTGTAACTGGCTGACTGACTGCATTCAAAGTGTAGTCCTTAATGGAACTGCATCTACATGGAAGGAAGTATGCAGTGGAGAACCCCAAGGCTTTATCTTAGGCCCAATACTTTTCAATACCTTCATCAATGATTTAGACAAGGGGATAGAAGGGGAATTCATCCAATTGGCAGATGATACCAAGCTGGCAGGAATAGCCAACACTCCATAAAATAGACTCAAAATACAAAAGGATCTTAACAGACTTGAACATTCAGCCTAAAAGTAAGATTCTACATTTAGACAAGAAAAACCAAATGCACAGGTACAGAATAGGTGCTACCTGCCTCAATAGTAGTAACTGTGAGAAGGATCTTGGAGTCCTAGTGGACAATCCCTTACCTATGAACCAGCAGTGTGCTGCAACTGCCAAAGATCACATGGAATGTCAATACCATTTTATAATGCCTTGGTAAGGCCACACTTGAATACTGCATCCAGTCTTGGTTACCATGATATAAAAAAGATATTGAGACTCTAGAAAGAATGCAGAGAAGAGCAACAAAGATGATTAGGGGACTGGAGTCTAAAACATGAAGAACGGTTGCAGAAATTGAGTATGTCTATTTTAATGAAAAGAAGGACTAGGGGTGACATGATAGCTGTGTTCCAATATTTGAGGGCCTGCCACAAAGAAGAGGGGGACAACCTATTCTCCAAAGGACCAGAAGGCATGATCAGAAGCAATGGATGGAAACTAATCACATGACCATGAGGATGGAGCAACAGCCCTAAGTGTGAAAAATGGTCATAAGTCACTTTTTTCAATGCGGTTGTAACTTCCAATTACACTAAACTAAAGGGTGTAAATTGAGGCCTAGCTATATGTGGAAAACAAGCATTTCTTTCTATTTTTTTTAATATTTAGGGAGTTTGTAGTCACTTTACTTTGCCCCAACACATACAAACATAATTCCAGATGCTTCCTAGAGCAAGCTCCAAAAAGCTTATGTTAAATTAAAGCAAAAGTACAAAATTCAACAATATTATTATTTTGTAGTGGAGCAAAATGGATTAAGAGAATTAAAAGCATTTTTACTATTATCATGGAAATTGTGCCTGATATCAATTGCTTACAATAAAAACTAAAATAAGACAATTTGATTATAGTGACAATGGGTGCACCATTGGAAGACCTGGACAACCAATCTAGGGACAGACCTTTCTGGAAAAAATCTATGGGTTCCCCCCCCTAAACATCTCACTCTAACAGCAATGTAATGGGCCACTAAGTTATGACTAATTGGTCTCATTGATTTCAATGGGGTTGAACTTTGGATCCCATGCCTTGCTAGTAAATTAATTTCTCAATGGAATTTCTGGCACCCTTAATTAATTCACTGGAGTGTGATCAGAAAAAGACACATGGTTGTGACTCTGAGGAATGGGAGTGATAGAGGCTTAGGACTCACACAAGATACAGATATGAAAGGAAGTTTCCAGGGCAACATCAGTTTCTGACATGCCAGGGACAATTGTGTCATCTCGATGGAACCTGAAGATGTGTTTGATATGAAAGTGTAACAGAACATTTTGGTACAAGTCAGCAGATTACAAGAAGCTTGGAAAGAAACCTAATTTGAGATGTTGTGTTTCTCAGCAAGCTTCTACCACACAATTGTTGAGGATAATTCCTTGATTGGTTTTCCTGCAACAAGTGAAGCAAACTCAGTCTGAGTAAAGCTATGTTTGGAACAATTCAAAGAACATTGCTGGCATTGAAGTTCTTCTTTAAGAAAATAAACTCCTGAGAGACTGAAAATTTGCAGCAATTAATTGATCAGAGAAAGTTTTGCTGAAGGCTTCTTATTAACTGATCAGGAAATTCCAAACTCTATGAACATTGTCCACTTGGTCTCGCTTAAGGTAGCATCACTAAAAAGTCTATACAAAACCTACAGCAGCTGTTACCAAATTAGATCTACTACATATGATTTATCTGTTTGATGATTTATGGGCTTCTGGAATTTTTTTTTTCACTTTGTCCAAGAAACTGCAACAAAAATCTTTTACCTCTTATCTCAAGAGGATGGGGAATTCCCTTAAGAGCAGAAAACAGAGCAAAGAGCAAACTTTACCTTAATAATGAATGTGTAAGAGCATACAAAAGAAACAAAACACTTCTTGACATTTCTTTATTGCTTGTATTTGTAAAATCTATCAGTTTCAACACAAAAACTGTAGTCAATATAGATCACCATACTGGCAGTTGAATTATCAATAGTTCCACTAACCTACTCTGCAAGATATAAGTTTCCTTTGAAACAAAGATTTTTCGTGAAAATAAATAATAATAATAATAATAATAATAATAATAATAATAATAATAATAATAAAAGTTGGAAGGGACCTTGGAGGTCATCTAGTCCAACCCCCTGCTCAAGCAGGAAACCCTATACCATTTTGGACAAATGGCTATCCAGTCTCTTCTTAAAAACTTCCAGTGTTGGAGCATTCACAACTTCTGGAGGCAGGTTGTTCCACTGGTTAATTGTTCTAACTGTCAGGAAGTTTCTCCTTAGTTCTAGGTTGCTTCTCTCCTTGATTAGTTTCCATCCGTTGCTTCTTGTCCTGCCTTCAGGCGCCTTGGAAAATAACTTGACTCCCTCTTCTTTATGGCAGCCCCTGAGATATTGGAACACTGCTATCATGTCCCCCTCGTCCTTCTCTTCATTAAACTAGACATACCCAATTCCAGCAGCCTTTCCTTATATGCTTTAGCCTCCAGTCCCCTAATCATCTTTGTTGCTCTTCTCTGTACTCTTTCTAGAGTCTCAACTTCCTTTTTACATCGTGGTGACCAAAACTGGATGCAGTACTTCACGTGAAGTATTAATACCACTTTACAATGCCTTGGTAAAGTCACACTTGGAATACTGCATCCAGTTACAGACAGACAGACAGACAGACAGACATTTGAATTATTTTAGAAGTCAACTGCCAGATTTGGTAAGTTGATTGTAGGTGGATAGCTCAGGTATATTTTAAAATAGATGAATTCATCCCACAGATTATAATGGGGAAACAGTTTTGACCTCACTGATTGTTTGAAAGTAATTGCACCCCAATGGAATTTCTGGAAAATGTAATTGCTTTTTTTAAATCATTCACGTTTTGAAATAATTCCCACTGGAAATTGATGACAGGCTCCTGGGGAATGAGGATGGAGCATTCACTGAGGATGCAACATTTTAAAAGATGGGTGGTAGAACTGAAAAAGTGAAGAAGAGTTTCTAATAAAGGAGAATATTTGTGGCTCACGGTTGACATGAGGGGTCCTTGGTGCTCTCTGAGCTTGCTTGTTTTTTGTTTTTTTTTTGCAGACATTTCATCACCCAAACTAGGTAACATCATCAGTGCTAGTGCTAGAAGAGCTTCTATCTGAAGATGTCACAAAATAAGCCTCTGTTAATTCTTCATTTCACATTGAGAGGATGTTATCAACCAGAACTCCATATCTTCAGAATAGAACTCAAAAGATATCTCTACCTGTGAAAGGGAAAGAAGGCTCTGATTCAAACTGATCAAGGTGACTCAGAACCAGCTTGAGATTAAATGTTCTAGATAACAAGTTTCTATCTCACAAGAGGAAACTGCCTTTTGCGGAACAAAATCACCTTTGTTGATTTTTGTTTTCAATTACCCATTGCTTTAGAAAGAAATTTTAAAATCTCCCCGGAGATACCGGATCAGCAATTCTCTTTAAATATGAAAAAAATAAATACCAATTGAAAAATCTGCTACCAATATTAGGATCGGATTCTCTTGTTTAAGTTCCTTTCACCCTGACACACACATGCAATTCACAAAGGTCTGGGCCAAAAAATTGCATTCCACCTCCATAGTTCCACCATTCTTTTCTAGCAATGCACTCTCATGGTCCATCCATTTTGTATGCTAGGTTTTAGCTGTTAGAAACAGAGCTACTATCTGCTTTGTTGGATATTATTTCTTTCTGGAACATCATTTAATCCAAGAAAGGACTCAGATTTTGAAACTGAGTCAAACTTCTCAATATTCCTCCTCATTTCTGTAAATCTTTCAATGAGTAAAATTTTGAGACAGGGTTTTTTTTTTCATTTATTTTTATGAGGAACTGAAATTTTTTTTGATGCTTTCTTAAACTTATCAATAGTCCAGTAAGATAATAACTTTGACAGGAGAGAACTAATAATACATTCAGCAGGGCTGAGGACTTGCACTAATTCTACCCCTATCTAATTCTGCCAAACCAATAGTTTTATTTTGTTGGTCTGAATTGCTATATTTTTTTAAGAAAAATGATATAAAATAATTGAACAAGTGTTTTTTTACCAAGAGCCATGTTGGCACAGTGGTTAGTATTGTAGGCTAACTCTACCCACTGCCAGGAGTTTGTCCTGACTGGATCAAGGTTGACTCAGCTTTCCATCCTTCCAAGGTCAGTAAATGAGGATCCAGTTTGTTGGGGCAATAGGCTGTAAACCACTTAAAGAGGACTGTAAAGTAATATGAAGCGGTATATAAGTCTAAGTGCTATTGCTATTGCTATTGCTATTGCTATTGCTATTCCTTCCTTCCTTCCTTCCTTCCTTCCTTCCTTCCTTCCTTCCTTCCTTCCTTCCTTCCTTCCTTTCTTTCTTTCATTCATTCACTCACTCACTCATTATTTTATAGCTGCCCACTTGATATTCAACTGAACGAGAATGATATGATATAATTTCCTGCACTTGAAGAAAGAGTGGATTGTAATACATGACATCTATCCAATGCAAAGTAAATACTAGGACTACAAAATAGGATAAACTGTCAGCATCTTCTATCCAGTGGGAAGAAACTCCAAAGTCCTAAGAATAACTGACCCATGGCATGTCTGAATCAAACAGCACCAAGTATATTTATCCTTGCTGGGTTTCCATATCAACAAGAGCTCAAGATTCCCTTGGTTTCCTTCTTCTCGATCATGTTCCTCCTAACACTTTCTGGAAATTCTCTGATCATCTTGATGGTGATCACTGACCTTCAATTGCACAAGCCCATGTACTGGTTCCTGTGTCATCTTTCCATCCTGGACATGGCCTTCTCCGCTGTGGTGGTTCCCAAAATTATTGCAGGATTCAATCCTGGGGGGAAAGTCATTTCTTTCCTAGGGTGTGTGACTCAAGTATTCTTTTTTCATTTCCTGGGATGTTCAGAAAGCCTTCTCTACACTTTGATGGCTTATGACCGCTTCTTGGCCATTTGTAAACCACTCCACTATGGCAACATCATGAGGTGTAGAACATGTCTCATCTTCTCCTTGGGTACCATAATTGGAGGATCCCTCCAATCCACATTTCAGACATTTCTCACTTTTCACTTGCCTTATGGACAGAAAAACTACATTGACTATGTCTTCTGTGACATTCCTGCCATGCTAAAATTGACTTGTGTTGATATAAAGCTTAACGAGTTGATGATGTTCATTGATGTTGGCCTTGTAGCAATGACTTGCTTTCTGCTTATCTTAGCATCCTATGTTTACATCATCATGGCTATTTTGAGAATTAGTAGTCATGAAGGACGGCACCGAGCCTTCTCAACTTGCACTGCCCATCTTACTGTGGTGATCATATATTATCTGCCTGTGGTGTACCATTATCTGAGACCAGCTTCTCAGGACTCCATGGATGGTGTAGTGAGCATGTTCTACACCACAGTGACTCCTTTGTTGAACCCACTAATATATACCCTTAGGAACAAGGAGATGAAAACTGCTCTGCTGAAACTTTGCGGTAGGAATCCAGAGTAAACAATAACTGTGTATACAACTTATTTTGATTTTCTTGAGCATGGTCAGTAGTTAATGTCAACATTTTGGTATGGAAATCTGTCCTGCTTTATGACCACAGTGTAATTTCTATGGAATGCTCTAATAATTGATGTATCTGGACAAATTTACAGAGAATGCCAAAAGAAATCTATTAGAAATTTGAAAAGAAGTACCTCTTTTCAGATGAAATTGTGCCTTGTGATAACCATTTTCTCCTTCATTCTCATTGTTTAGAGAAAGGGGAAATAATAAAAACCTGAATTTGGTCCAACAGTCACCCTACTCTTGTGTGATTTCAAGAGGAAGATTGAAAAGAGGCTCAAGAAAGAATCTGAAATACAAGCAGTGCTAAGAAAACTCTTGAAGTTAGGTCTATAGGATAAAGGATCCCTACACAATGTTCACCTGGTCTGGTTGTTGGAGATCAAAGCAGAATAGCTGGGTTAGAAGAAGCATCAATTTTTGTGTGAACAAGGTTTGAGAGTCAATGTAGGAGATGACCAGGCTGAGCCCAAAGGAGGGGTCAAATGCTTCATCAGTCTTAGATCCCTTCCTGCCCATAAGATATCTAAATCTAGCCCACTTTGAATTCCATTGACTCTTATCTACCGCCAATTTGCTTTGACTGCTTGTAGTTCAGATTCTTGTAGAGAGCTTTAGCATGCAATACGCCTGTAGTCATTTGAATGACCTTGCTTCCTGATTTATTGCACCTGACAGTTGAATTGTTAAGAAACAGAGAGGATCATCATTCATTCATATTCCTGGAGGCTATTTAAAGCAACAGAAAGAATGACATAAAATCTTAGATTTTAGTACCAGTAGATGGACACAATTATAGTGACAATGGCTACAGTCTTGGAAGATGTGAAGGACCAAATATGTGCAGATCATCTTGCAGAAGGTCTATCTGTGTAGTCATTTTGTGGTCAAATCTGACTTTATGGCACATGATCATCATCATGATTGGACAATGAGCAGATACATAGATAAGGAGGGTAAAAAAATTAAGATTGTGACTTTCTTTGTGTCCCATCAGACAGTTGCAGCCCTTGTCTTAATTTATAAAACACTCCAGCCATGGATATAAATGAGAGAACCTTAAGAGAAAACATCAAATCAGAGACAGTGCTCTAGCAAAGAACTAAACAATACTGTATATGTGACCTGATCTGTACCATTAATAGCAGGTGAAGAATGGGAAAAAAGCTTTAGGGCAGTGGTGGCGAACCTATGGCACGGGTGCCAGAGGCGGCACTCGGAGCCCTCTCTGTGGGCACACATGCCATTGCCCCAGCCTCGCCTCCCCCCACGACCCCCTCCTCACCAGCACCCCCCCTGGAGGAGAGTCTCCCCCGAGCGTGGCCCATGAGGAGCAGTGCAGCCAAGGACATGGCAGCCAGGCAGCATAGACAAGACTCTGCCCTCACGCCCCATCGTGCACAGTTGATGCTGCGGGGCGCGGGCAGAGGGCATGGCTGCCATGGTGCTGCTGGGCTGCCTGGGCGATCTGCAGCGGGCCCTGGAGGCAGTGAGTGGCCCTGCGGGAAGGCAGGGTGGGGTAGGTAGGGGATGGAGTGGGGGCGGGGCCAGTTTTGGAGCACTCGGTCTCTAAAAGGTTCGGCATCACTGCTTTAGGGTGTCTAATCAGTTTCCATTCTTCTTCTGATTCCATCTTTCCTTTCTTCATGCAAATTCATGAGTATATCTTCTTGTATAGCTAAGTGGAATTATTTCTTTTTCCTTCATTGAGCTGAGCAGCCATTATTCTTTAAGACCACCATGATGTCCTTCGGGTCTCCTGCTCTTTTTATTCAATTAGGCTTTCATGAATAAATCACAATATGAATTACAGGTATAGGAGAATTGAAAGAGTTTTGCAGGAGATGACCAGGCTGAGCCGAAGGGAGGGGTCAAATGTGTCATCAGTCTCAAATCCCTTCATACACCACAAGAGATCTAAATCCAGCCCACCTTGAATTCTATTGACTCTTATCTATTGCCTATTTGCTTTGACCATCAGTAGTTCAGATTCTTGTAGAGAATATTTGCATACAATAAACCTATATTCTTTGGATCTACCTGGAGTCCTGATTTCCTGCACTTGACAAGTTTATTTTGCCCTCCAATATGATTGGCCATTGGCCTTATTGCAAAGGTGGGGATCTTAGCAACCAACCTCCTGTGATATATCCTTCTTTGAGCCATTTACAATGACCTTATCACTAGCTTTGGGCTGGTGGCCAGATGCTACCTTTCTTCCCTCACCAGAAACTTTTGGCCAAATCATCCACTCCCTTTTATTCTAATGTGTTGTCTTCATTGTGAGAGAGTAGTAAAAATCAAGGGGATAGAAATTAATTCCTTTAAAAAAAAATTGTAAAACAAAAAACAAAAAAGCTCAGAAGAGTTTATATGCATATTTGTTCCTTTCAAACTATTCTGTTGATCGTACATATATGTATATCAAGAGAACATACAATATTTCTTGACATTCCATAAAAAATGGAATATAATAGATATTGTTATGTAAATGGAATACATTTCTAAGTAGGTCTCCAGCTAAAACTCTTAGCCAGAGAAAACTTGTTCAGATTTAAAAAGAGAAGTACATTCCTGAGATGCTGGCATAATTGATGGAGAACAGGTTATCAGTATTGAAAACCTTAAAAACATGCAATATCTATTTTCTTTGTCATCTTTTTTCTCACCAGATTTCTGGAAACATAACCAAAAAGAAAAACCACTGGATTTTCCAAAATAATATTACCATTGATTCATACAAGGAAAAAAAAATTCTAGTCAGAAAGAAAACACAAAGACCACATAATAATAATAATAATAATAATAATAATAATAATAATAATAATAATAATAATAATAATAATAATAATAATAACAACAACAACAACAACAAAAAAAAAAACAACAATAACAATAACAATAACAATAATAATAATAATAAAGTTGGAAGGGGCCTTGGAGGTCATCTAGTCCAACCCCCTGCTCAGGCAGGAAACCCTATATCATTTCAGACAAATGGCTGTCCAGTCTCTTGGAACACTGCTATCATGTCCCCCCTTGACCTTCTCTTCATTAACCTAGACATACCCAATTCCAGCAGCCATTCTTTATATGCTTTAGCCTCCAGTCCCCTAATCATCTTTGTTGCTCTTCTCTGTACTCTTTCTAGAGTCTCAACATCTTTTTTACATCACGGTGACCAAAACTGGATGCCTTATTCCAAGTGTGGCCTTACCAAGGCATTGTAAAGTGGTATTAATACTTCACGTGATCTTGATTCTATCCCTCTGTTAATGCAGCCCAGCACTGTGTTAGCTTTTTTGGCAGCGGCAGCACACTGCTGGCTCATATTTAAGTGATTGTCCACTAGGACTCCGAGATCCCTCTCACAGTTACTACTATTGAGCAAGGTACCCCCTATACTACACCTGTACATTTGGTTTTTCTTGCCTAAATGTAGAATCTTACTTTTTTCACCATTGAATTTCATTTTGTTAGATAGCGCCCAGTTTTCAAGTCTGTCCAGATCCTCCTGTATCTTAAGCCTGTCTTCTGGAGTGTTGGCTATTCCTGCCAGCTTGGTGTCATCTGCAAATTTGATGAGTTCCCCGTCTATCTCCTCATCCAAATCGTTGATGAAGATGTTGAAGAGCACTGGGCCCAGAACAGAGCCCTGGGGCACCCCACTACACACATCAAACACACTGTATTTTTAATATTCAGTGCTCAAAAGTTAACTGAAACCTTCAGTTTCTTTTTAAAAACACAAAGAGTGTGCATTAAAAATAGATTTTGATTTATTTAAGACCTGGGAGATTTTAAAGGTAGAGCTGTTCAAAAACCAAACACTTTGAAGTTGGACTTGAAGCTGATGCTGCAGGAGAAGCAAAAGTCTCTTTCCAGAGAAGATCAGAAGAGACTCAAAAGAGATTATGGATTTTAAGATATGGACAATATTATGCTTCATCAGGAGAAAGCAGAAGCATTTAGAAAGAAAAAGTGGCAAAATATATTTTTGGCAGTCAAATACTGGATAAAAGAATTGTTCTACATTAATATCCCTTGAAATCAGTGGGACTTCTAACACATGATTAGTTGGTCTTATTGATTATTATGGGATTGGACTTTCAAACTAACTGATTGTTCAAAAGTAATTATACTCCATGGAATATAAGGCAACAGTAATTGCCTTTCTCTTAAATCAGGTTTTTGTTTTTTGTTTTTTTGCAATTTCCAGGCACACTGGAATTTAGTAGAAAGCTCAACAGGGCTTCTGTCTGGGGAAGGTGACAGAATGTTCTTGGGAGATGGAATATTTTAAAAAGCTATGGAAACAGAAGTGTGAAAGAGCTCCTTCTTGAATGCTCCAGAATATATTAATCTGCCTAATTCTTTTTTTTTTCATATCCATCTTTCCAGAATCCATAATATCCTCAGAACAAAACTTCAAGAATCTCAAGATGAGAAATGGAAAGAAGACCTAATCCTAATTAAGAGGGAATCCAGATGACCTGGAAAAACTCTAGTTCACATTAAGCTTATATGTCCCAATACAAGAGTCCTTTTTTGGAAATAGTCCCCTTTGTTGGAGTCCATGCAAGTAATTATCTCAATCATCTTTTTGAGAAGAAAACTTGGTCTCTCCCTCTGCATAACATTTGAGTTGGTGCAACTCAAATTCCATTGCTGCCTCTGAAGAGAAAGACTATCTGCTGTCTATACTTTGTCCAGTAAACCTTCTGGAACAGAAGAGGAACAGAATGAGATGCTATCAAGAAAGTTCTAAAACCCATTCAAAGTTTCCAGTTTCTTTTCCAACAATGTCATTAGACCTTAATGACAGACCTAGCTAGATTTTCCTTGTGCAATTCTACATCAGCAAGCAGAGAAATGAAAAATGGATTGAATTGCTTTTTTGCCAAGACATTTACAAGTTGGAATAGGTCTATAAAGAG